CCACAATTACTGAGCCTGCGAGCCACAGCTACTGAAGCCCACGCGCCTAGAGCCCGTGCTCCTCAACGAGAGAAGCCACCGCAATGAGAAGCCTGCGCACCGCAGCAAAGAGTAGCCCCCACTCGCCTCAACTAGAGAAAGCCTGCACGCAGCAAGGAAGACCCGTCACAGCCAAAAATAACTAAATCAATAAATTTATTTAAAAAAAAAAAGAAGTAGGTGGTCACTGCCTACATACCATGAGAATCAGGTCTGCCATTGAGCACAGTGATGACTGCATTTTACTTCTATATTAGGAGAAGTAGGAGAAAGAGTATTAATAGCATTTTTATTTTTTAACTTGCTATATAAAATGTATAATTTACTGTGTATTATACTATGTATTTATATATGTATTAGTAGCTATTTTACTATGTGTTTACTGTTTTACTGTATGAAATTATTTTTCTGTGTATCAGCAAGCTTTCTTTTTTCGGGGGTCTGCACCGTGCAGCTTGCAGGATCTTAGTTTCCTAACCAGGGATTGAACACAGGCCACAGCAGTGAAAGGGCCGAGTCCTAACCACCGGACAGCCAGGGAATTCCCGTATCAGCAAGCTTTCCTATTCTAAAAGCTCTACATGTATTAACTGATTTAGTGCTTTTAACTACCCTGTGAGATAAGTACCTTTGTTATCAACCCCATTTTATAGGTGAGGAAATTGAGCAGAGTGAAATTAAATAACTTATTTAAGACAGCAGGCAGGAAGTAGTAGAGCCAGGATTTGAACCCCGGCAGTTTGACTGCAGAGACATACTCTTTCTTTTATTATTCCCCTTCTCCCCCAGTCCCCACATAATCATTCTCTATTTTTCCACACACCTGACCAATCATCTCCGTGGCCTGGGGCAAGCACTGCAGAACAGTCAGAGAGTCGGGCACAGTCCTGGTCCCCTGCAGTTGATGAGGCTTTGGCTTTTTATGTGCAAAAATGGAGCTGTCAGTGATCAGTTGTCACAATGAAAAAGACCTGGTTTTCTTTTAGTTTTCTGAACATTTTATTTAAAGAAATAAAAAAACGGTCTGGCAAGTTATAAGTATACTACAATGAATTCATGTATACTATTTCCTTGCTTTCACCAGTTATTAACATTTTGCCATGTTTGCTTTACCCTTCTTTCTCTCTCTGAACCATTTGAAAATTAGTTCACATACTTCAGACCTAAATACCTTATTCAACATGTTTATCCTAAGAACAAGGGCATCCTCTCTACAACCACAGTACACTGATGACACTCAGGAAATCTGTCATTGCTAAAACACTCTTATCTAATATACAGTCCCTGCCCAGATTTCCTCAATTGTTCCGATTTTGTCCTTTATCTTCTTTTTTTCTTTCAAATCCAGAATTCAATCAGAGATTGCATTTAGTTGTCATATTTCTTTAGTCTCCTTTACATCTACAACCATTTACTGGATTTTTTTTTTTTTTGGTCTTTCATAACATTGGCATTTTTAAAGATTCCAGACTAGTTGCTTTGCAGATGTCCTTAAGTTTGGGCTTGTCAGGTTGATTCCACATGTTTAGATTAAAAAGGTTAAAAAAGGTTGAAAAAGGTTAAAAATAATAAAAAAGTTGAAAAAAATTTGTAGGAATATCATTTAATGAAGTCATGTCCTCAGTGTATCACATTAGAAAGCATATGATGTCATTATATTGCATTACTGGTGATGACAAGTTTGATCATTTGGTTAAGATAGTGTTTACCAGATTGCTTCATTATAAAGGTACCCTTCTCCTTTGTTAAAAGCATTCTCTGGGGTGATATTTTGAGATGTATGAATATCCTGTTCTCCAGTAGTCTCTGACTGTTGGTATTCATTGATTCTTCGGAATCACTTACTATTGTTTTTGTAAAATGGTGATTTTCTATTTCAGTTTTTCCTTCTACATTTATTAGCTTTTCTGTAAAGAAGAGCTTTCCCTTCTATGCGAAAGTAATAGTCTCCCAAAGATGTCTACCTCCTAATCCCCAGAACCTGTGAAAATGTTACCTGACTTAGCAAAGCGGAATTGAGGTCATAGATGGAATTAAGGTTGCTAATCAGCTAACCCTTAAGATAAGGAGATTCTTCAAGTGGGCCCAATGTAATTACAGAAGTCCTTTAAAATAGAAGGAGACAGAAGAAGAGTCAGACTAATGCAGTGTGAGAAGGACTAGGCCTGTCATTGCTGGCTTTGAAGATAGAAGAATAGGGGCAGCCTCTAGAAGATGGAAAAGGAAAGGAAGTGGACCCTACCCAGAGCCTATAGAAAGGAACGCAGTCCTGCCAGTGCCTTGATGACACTTGTATCGTACTTCTGACCTAGAAAACCAGTAGTATACCTTCTCACTTTCTTATCAGTGTGGATTCATGGGTTGTTTTCTTTCTTATAAATGAGTTAAAATCTTTTTCTGTCAGTATTCATTTTTATATTCAGATTGCCTCAAATTTGGCCTTGGGGAGCCCCTTCAAGATCCTTGTGCCAAAAACAAAGGGCTTCCCTGGTGGCGCAGTGGTTGAGAGTCCGCCTGCCGATGCAGGGGACGCGGGTTCGTGCCGCGGTCCGGGAAGATCCTGCGTGCCGTGGAGCAGCTGGGCCCGTGAGCCATGGCCGCTGAGCCTGTGCAAAAAAAAGATCTGTTCTCAATCCTTGTGACTGTCCTCTTTTTTGGCATAGCAAGATATTCCACAGTATCTTGTACTTTCCTTCCCCAACTTGGAATCAGAACACAAACTCCTTTTTTTTATATCTTATTAGATTTATTATGTTCATATATCTCCAAAGATTGAATGTGTCCTGGATTGAGCTATCTTACAATCTAAATGAATTACAGTTGAGCAAAAGAATAAGAATAAATTAAAATTTTTATAAATAATAAACATAAAAGTTAAAAAAAATCCATTTCTTCATAATATGAATTGAGCGTTTACAAAATTAATTGGTTCATTTGTCCATGGTTGAATATTGCTTATTGCTAGAATGAAACAGAGTTCAGCTGATTTCTCTTTCTATTTATTGTTTTTATAGAGGTAAGCTGTAGGAAACCTTAGAACACAAACTCTTGAGCAGTGCACTGTGCTGCTGCTTGCATTAAACTCTGCACTGTATTTCTTATAAAAATATTGCAAAGACAACATAATAGTGATTGACCATTGGGAAAACCTTGTAACTGGGCTTTAAAGTTTGCCGCAAGAATGAGAAGTATGGAGTGTCTGGCCTTATCATTCCAATCCTCCTGTGTCTGCTTGGCATGGTGTTCCTGCCAGGGCTGGGCAAGTAGCAGCAGGGATTTATGAATATTTTCACATAGAGTTATAAAAAGAAATGCTTATCTTTGACTGTAGAGGCTGAATTTTGTTCCGGAGCCTGTCCATAAGTTTCTGTATTATACTCACTCAGAAATGGTTCAGTATGCAGTCCTTTAAAAAAATCGTTTTGTAGAATTCTTAGCTAACAGTTTATAGTGATGCATAGAAAGAGATTGAATGTAATGTGCCAGAGAAAACTTTAGTCTTTGGGGATATATAGAAACCTCACATGATTACAGACATTCCTCTTAGACTGGGGTCACAAGCACAGAATGCTCTCGGGGGCCTGGCAGGAGATAAGAATGAGTGAAGCAGGTCAGGTGGGGACGGTGCTGAACTGGACAGCGCAGGCCTGTCCTGCAGGGAGCACTTGCACTTCTCTGGTTGACTCTTGCCTTGCCAGAGAGAGAGCCCAGTGTTGCCAGGGTTTTCAAGAGAAGTCCAGAAATCTAGATTTTTTTTTTTTTTTTTTTTTTTTTGTGGTACAAGGGCCTCTCACTGCTGCGGCCTCTCCCTTTGCAGAGCACAGGCTCCGGACGTGCAGGCTCAGAGGCCATGGCTCACGGGCCCAGCCGCTCCGTGGCATGTGGGATCTGCCCGGACCGGGGCACGAACCCGTCCGTGTCCCCTGCATCGGCAGGCGGACTCCCAACCACTGCGCCACCAGGGAAGCCCACAGAAATCTAGATTTTTATATGAATTCCTCCAATTTCAAAAGGTTAGCAATTAATTCAATTTTATTTTTAAAGCACAAGGAGGAACGAACAAACCATGTCTGCAGATTGGTTTTGGCCCTCGTGTCATCAGTTTATAACCTCTGGTCTAAGATATGCTGGTAACCAACATTGTTGCACATGAGGGCTATTTAGAATGGCGTTCTTAGCCTTTTTGGTGCAGTGGGTGGCGTTGGCAGTATGGGGAAGCTTATGGGTCTTTTCTCAGAATAATGTTTTTTAAGTGTATTTTAAAAATACGTAAGACTACGAAGAAAATAAATTGTATTAAAATATAGTTCTCAAAATATTTTTAAAAACCAAATTTGTGATATGTATGCCTTTTATTAGTGCATTAAATAACATGATCTAGTGGTAGGTCTGTTCACTGCCATAATTTTTAAATACTGTGGGAGTAAGTGATTTTTTTTGGCCGTGCTGTGCGGCTTTCATTATCTCAGTTCCCGACCAAGAATTGAACCTGCACCACACAGTGAAAGCCCAGAGTCCTAACCACTAGGCCACCAGAGAACTCCTGAGAATAAGTGATTTTTTTTTTTTGAGAATAAGTGATTTTTTGAGATAACTGTAACAACTGTAAAAGAATGTTAAAATACCTGATATCTGTTGGTGGCAGGGTCACAGGCATTGCTAATACTATTCTCCTTTGTTGCCTACATTCCAAATTGAAGGTAATGTTAAATTGGAACTAGAATTTGGTGAAAACAGGGATGTCATTCCCCCCGCCCCACCCCCATCCATGTTTAGTGACAGTCAATGAATCTCAGGTTTAGGACCCTTAGTCCAAAATAATCCTCAACCTACTTATAGTAGCCTAAGGATAACAGTATAGTGTTATTGAGTGTAATTAGTCCAGCCACCATCTTACAGTTTATTTCTTTCTCTATAGTTAACTTTCTGGTTACTGAACTTGATTCTATGTTTTTCTTTAGAACGTTATCACTTGTCTTACAAGATCGTACGAACAGACAGTCGTCTGGTTCGCAGCATCCTGACAGCCCATGGATTTCATGAAGTAAGCTCATTTTTACTACCTTACCTTATCTGCTCAAAAGCTGAAAATCCTAGCCACCTAACTGACTGTCAGCTAACAGGGCCAGCTCTAGAAAGTACACGGGACCACTCCCTAGTGATGATGCAGGACTTGCATTGACTTTCTGAGTCACTTTACCAGTTTTTCCTTGAAATACATGGAAAACACTTCCACAAGATTTTGTGGGGCTTTTTTTTAGGGGAAAAAAATTTTTTTTTTCCTTGCTGTGTTTTTAGGCATGGGCTAGAGGCAGAGTTTCCCATAAGGAATTGTCTAATACCCAATTAAACCTCTTTGATTGCAAGCAACAGAAACAGACTCTGCCCAACATAAACCAAAAGGGATTTATAGTAAAGATGTACATAGAATGGCTAGCAGAACCAGAGGAAAAGCTGAAAAAGCAGACCTTTGGAAGCAGAAAGAATGCAATAGCTCCAGGGATCTGGCAACAGAAGTCTTCAAGACCACCTTTACTGCTGTGGAATGAATCGACTGCATTCATTGTCCTTGTGCCTTTCTCTGCCCAAGAAGCATATTCTGGAGGTAGAATGATTAGCCTAGCTTGGGTCAAGGGTCCACTCCTTGGGGGAAGGGAGGGGCAGGTGATTGCCAGGTCCTTTAAAACCAAGGAGTATGTTATTCCCAAAGAAAATTGGGAAAATGGGGATTTGACATCAAAAGGCAAAGGCAAAAATGCTGGATGGACTTGCACTGTGGATATTTTGAGACAGTTGATAAAAGTCTGGTTGCTCGCTTCTTATCCTAGGTTGAGGTATGAAGTAGACATTTTGAGGAAGTTCTGATACCAGTTTATATACTGTCTTTGTTGCTGTTTTATTTCCAGCTTAACATGGTACCTGTCACATCAGAGGCAGAGAGTACATAATTGTTGAATGAATGGACAAATGAATTCTAATGAATGAATGAATGAATTCTAAGTTGGTTTGCTACTATAAGGTTTTAGATCTGATCATCACTTTATACCCAGCATCTGCAAGGATATAAGGACAGTCTGAGAAGGGAGTTTTGGGGTTGGGTCCTCATCTCTCACTTTGATATGCAAGAATATTTAGAGATATCATGGACTTCTATAAAAGGATTAATTCTACTTTTTGCATGTGAGACTTGTCCAACTCTCTCATTCTTTAAACTTGCTTATCCCTCTGTTCTGTACACTCAGCTTTTGTCTTACTAAGCTCACATCCTAACTGACCCGCCCCTGTGAGTGCTCTGTGGATGAAAAATCTCTGTGACTTTTTACTTCCATTGTTCTTCCAGGGGCTGTCTCTGGTGTTTCTTTCTTTTTTTTTTTTTTTAATAAATTTATTTATTTATTTTTGGCTGCGTTGGGTCTTCGTTGCTGCGCGTGGGCTTTGTCTAGTTGCGGCGAGTGGTGGCTACTCTTCGTTGCAGCATGCGGTCTTCTCATTGCGGTGGCTTCTCTTGTTGTGGAGCACGGGCTCTAGGTGCACGGGCTTCAGTAGTTGTGGCACGCGGGCTCAGTAGTTGTGGCTCACGAGCCCTAGAGCGCAGGCTCAGTAGTTGTGGCACATGGGCTTAGTTGCACCGCGGCATGTGGGATCTTCCCAGACCAGGGCTCAAACCCGTGTCCCCTGCGTTGGCAGGCGGGTTTTTTTTTTTTTTTTTTTTTTTTTTTTTTAATGGGATCTTCCCGGACCGGGGCACGAACCCGCGTCCCCTGCATCGGCAGGCGGACCCTCAACCGCTGCGCCACCAGGGAAGCCCGGCAGGCGGATTCTTAACCACTGTGCCACCAGGGAAGTCCCTCTGGTGTTTCTTATCTTGTCTTTTTATCTGCCCTTAGGTTCACCCAAGCAGCACTGACTATAACCTAATGTGGACAGGATCCCACCTGAAGCCCTTTTTACTTCGCACCCTCTCTGAAGCACAAAAGGTTAATCACTTTCCCAGGTAATGCTCTTGTAGCTACTTTGCTCCATTTAAAAGTACCTGACACTGAGGCATGTAGCCAGCAGAGATAATTAACATCCTTTAAAAACAAAAGAAGTCTGTGATATAGGGCAGCAGTCTGCAAATCAAACTGAGGTGTTCACATCCCTGGACATACCTGAAGACTTTGCAAGGACTCTGTAGGATGGATGGTTTTAAAATACACTACTTCTGTATTGCAAATCCCATAGATTCTCTTTCCTAAAATTGAGCTGCTTGTGAGCCCCTCATGTGGATAGGTTCTCCCTTCTCACCTTCTTTTTCATAGTTACCGGTTTTTCCCTTTATAAAAGAAGGGCCCACCTAGAATCTTAATATGGTGCATTGTCCTGGGGTGTAAAAATTTCAAGGGTTCCAAAGAAAGGAACAGAAATATTGGTGTTTAATTCAGGTAATAGCATAACAAATCTTTCTGCATGGTAATGATTTCCATTTCTTTGCTTTAACAGAATTGAAGAAGGACATAATCAAGTTGTCAGCTGATAGATCATTAAATATAAAATTTAAAGATAGGTCATCTTGTGACTTTTGACATATAATTAGAAAAGAGTTCAAAGAATTGAATGATATTGCTGTATTAAACTTCAGCCAGTCTCATTGGTTAACATCAGCCTAGAGAGGCAGTATTGCCTAGTGGCTAGAAGCACGGGCTCTGCAGCCAGCTAACCTGGGCCCAGATCGCATTTCTGCTGACTGATCTTGGGCAAGTGAGCTTTCTGAGCATCAGCTTCCTCATTGGTAAAAAGAAGGTACTAATGACACACCCTTTGTAGGACTATCGTGAGGATTTAATAAGTGCTTAGAACATCACATGCCTGCCACATAGTAAACACTATATAAGTGTTAGCTATTATATTTGTGAACAAGGTTTCTTAGTGTTTACATCTATGAAAGAGAAAATAGGAATAGAATTGATGCTGAAACCCTGCCTTATTCTAGCAGTGAGTAATTTTCAACTATGGAGAGATACATGACCTATAGGCGAAGAGGGCAGCTAATCTCATCTGTCTAATGAAGAGATGCAAATCTAATAGGAATTTTGTTATTTGCTCAGTGGCTGAGTTATATTTTATTTCCAGGACTTATGCCCCAGGTACTCACTCATGCTAACAAGTTTTGTTTTCGGTCACTTCATATACTTGTCTCCTCATTTTTTAGAAACGAAGGCTCTTTCTTGATTATTCAATTCTACTGTCTTATACTCAGTCAATGTGTATAAATACCCAGCGTATGCTGTCTCTAATGTCAAATAGTTTCTTGATAATCTTAGATAAATGTATATTTTGAATCTTTATAACAAGTTCCAGTTTTATTTTATGTCTGAGCTTCATGGGCAGAAAATAATTTAAACTTTATTTTCTTCCTCACTGCCTGGAAGATGTGGATTTGGTTTTCTAAATGTGTGATTGGGTGCTTGAAGTGAATCAGATGCAACTATTTTAAATAGGTATTTAAACAGTCTTAAAATAGCTCACAGTAGAGACTGCATTCCTAATTCCTGTTAGTAGTATAGTATTTATTTCAATAGCTTTTGAACTATTACTGTAGGTGTATAGGAATTCCACCTCAATTTGGACTCAGTCAGTATTATTAAATTCTAACCTATATTTTCTTCACTTCTCTTTGAATGTGTTGTACATGTATGTTTGGGAATATTAATAATCCATTACCTAAATGCAGTATACTTTGTGGCTTCTGGTGCTCTGTTTTTTCTAAGAAAATACATAGCACCAGAAGTTAGAAGTCTTTTTCAATCCAGAGACTTCTAACTCACATGCAAGAGGAATGCAAACACATGAAATGTTTCCAAAATTATTGTGTACTCTTTTTATGTAATTAAAAAAAATAATTTTAGACTTTTAGAAAAGTTGCAAAAATAATATAGAGTTTCTATGTGCTCTTTACCCAGTTTTCCTAATGTTAAATCAGTTATAACCATAGTATAGTTATCAAAATGGAGAAATTGATGTTAGTATAATGTACATTTCAATAAAAATTTATAACATTTATGGTGTTTTGTTGAATTGTGTACTGTGTTCCTACAATGATAGGTCAATATATGTATAACAAGTACAACCTTATGATCACAGGAAACTTAAAAATATTAAATGTAATTTGTATATGTATTTTCGTTGTAGAGAAGGTATAATATAATGTACAAGACTTACAAGCATTAAATATGTTCTGTTAGGCTAAGCTGTTCTTTGGGGAAAATGGAATGGAAGAAGTAAAAACAAAAGTGAATTGGGGGATGTCTGGGCGGGAGTAGGGGAGGCTTCTGGGGTGCTGGGAATGTTCTATGCTCAGTGGTGTTCACACAGGTGACCAAAATTCATCATGCTCTGCAGTTGTGATTTGTATACTTTCCTGTTTATATGTTACTTTCAGTTAAAAGTATAGTATTGTAAAAAGTGAAAAATTTACCGACAAAAAGAGCCTTTTCTTTTATAGTACTTTTAAAGTGTACAGTGGCTGGTGAATCCTGATGTTATTTAGGTTCCCTTGAATATACTTAAAAGGATACTGTTATAGTTTTATTTTAAAATTATATTTGCCATTCATTGGATCCTTTGGAACATTTTAAATTTATGATGAAAAATCTTAGATGCCACCAACAAAAAGGATACATAGTTTCCCAAAATTTGTATCGGGAGCACCAAGCAAAAATGTTTGGAGACCACTAATACTGGGTAACTGTAGAAGAATTTGTTGTTTTTCTTATCCTCTGGTTCAGTGTTTGCTTTTTTTTTTTTTTTTTTTGATTTTGACATACCGTTGCATTCAAGAGTTTATTTTATTTATTTATTTATTAAAAAAATTTTTTTTAAATCTTTCTTTTCTTTTTTTTCTTTTTTTTTGAACTTTTGAATTTTATCTTTTTATACAGCAGGTTCTTATTAGTCATCCATTTTATACACATCAGTGTATACATGTCGATACCAGTCGCCCAATTCATCACACCACCACCCCCGCCCCCACCGCTTTCCCCACTTGGTGTCCATACATTTGTTCTCTACACTGTGTCTCAGTTTCTGTCCTGCAAACCGGTTCATCTGTACCATTTTTCTAGGTTCCACATGTATGCGTTAATATACGATATTTGTTTTTCTCTTTCTGACTTACTTCACTCTGTATGACAGTCTCATTAGATCCATCCACACCTCTACAAATGACCCAATTTCGTTTCTTTTTATGGCTGAGTAATATTCCATTGTATATATGTGCCACATCTTCTTTATCCATTTGTCTGTTGATGGGCATTTAGGTTGCTTCCACTTCCTGGCTGTTGTAAATAGTGCTGCAGTGAACATTGGGGTGCATGTGTCCTTTTGAATTATTGTTTTCTCTGGGTGTATGGCCAGTAGTGGGATTGCTGGGTCATATGGTAATTCTACTTTTAGTTTTTTAAGGAACCTCCATACTGTTCTCCATAGTGGCTGTATCAATTTACATTCCCACTAACAGTACAAGAGGGTTCCCTTTTCTCCACACCCTCTCCAGCATTTGTTGTTTGTAGATTTTCTGATGATGCCCATTCTAACTGGTATGAGGTGATACCTCATTGTAGTTTTGATTTGCATTTCTCTAATAATTAGTGATGTTGAGCAGCTTTTCATGTGCCTCTTGACCATCTGTATGTCTTCTTTTGAGACATGTCTATTTAGGTCTTCTGCCCATTTTTTGATTGGGTTGTTTGGTTTTTTTTTGCGGTACACGGGCCTCTCACTGTTGTGGCCCCTCCTGTTGCAGAGCACAGGCTCTGGATGCGCAGGCCCAGCAGCCATGGCTCACGGACCCAGCCGCTCCGGGGCATGTGGGATCCTCCCAGACCAGGGCACGAACCCATGACCCCTGCATCGGCAGGCGGACTCTCAACCACTGCGCCACCAGGGAAGCCCTGTTTTTTTTAATATTGAGCTGCATGACCTGTTTATGTATTTTAGAGATTAATCCTTTGTCCGTTGATTCGTTTGCAAATATTTTCTCCGATTCTGAGGGTTGTCATTTCGTCTTGTTTATGGTTTCCTTTGCTGTGCAAAAGCTTTTAAGTTTCACTAGGTCCCATTTGTTTATTTTTGTTTTTATTTCCATTTCTCTAGGAGGTGGGTCAAAAAGGATCTTGCTGTGATTTATGTCATAGAGTGTTCTGTCTATGTTTTCCTCTAAGAGTTTTATAGTCTTACATTTACGTCCCTAATCCTTTTTTTTTTTTTTTTGCGGTACACGGGCCTCTCACTGTTGTGGCCTCTCCCGTTGCGGAGCACAGGCTCCGGACGCACAGGCTCAGCGGACATGACTCACGGGGCCAAGCCGCTCTGCGGCATGTGGGATCTTCCCGGACCGAGGCACGAACCCGTGTCCCCTGCATCGGCAGGCGGACTCTCAACCACTGCGCCACCCGGGAAGCCCTCTCTAATCCATTTTGAGTTTATTTTTGTGTACGGTGTTAGGGTGTGTTCTAATTTATTGTTTTCCCAGCACCACTTATTGAAGAGACTGTCTTTTCTCCACTGTATATTCTTGCCTCCTTTGTCATAGATTAGTTGACCATAGGTGCATGGGTTTATCTCTGGGCTTTCTATCTTGTTCCATTGATCTATGTTTCTGTTTTTGTGCCGGTACCATATTGTCTTGATTACTGTAGCTTTGTAGTATAGTCTGAAGTCAGGGAGTCTGATTCCTCCAGCTCCGCATTTTTCCGTCAAGAGTGCTTTGACTATCCAGGGTCTTTTATGTCTCCAGACAAATTTTAAGATTTTTTGTTCTAGTTCTGTAAAAAATGCCGTTGGTAATTTGGTAGGGATTGCATTGAATTGTAGATTGCTTTGAGTAGTAGAGTCATTTTCACAATATTGATTCTTCCAATCCAAGAACATAGTATATCTCTCCATCTGTTTGTATCATCTTTAATTTCTTTCATCAGTGTCTTATAGTTTTCTGCATACAGTTCTTTTGTCTCC